GGGGGGGAGGCTGGGAAAGGGATGTGAAGGGTAAACAAAGGAGGAGGCTGTAATGCTTGATAAGAAATGTACGCATTAACCTGCCCATGTAATTGTAACCCCTCTGTACAGTGTTTACAAAAAAATAAAAATTAAAAAAATATATACCAAAATAAGGAATGTCACCTGGCCTTGGTGACTCATGACTCTCATCTTGGCTATTCAAGAAGCTCATATCTGAGTATCATAGTTCCAAGTCTTCCAGGACAGGAAAGCCCCTGAGACACTTATCTCCAATTGTTTGGTATAAACTTGTTCAACCACTTTGAAAAGCAATGTGAAGGTTCCTCAGAAAACTCCACATAGAGCTCCCCTATGACACTGCAATCCCATTTCTGGGCATTTACCAAAATGACCACAAACAAGGCCATACTAAAGCTACCAGCACAACTATGTTTATCATAGCTATGTAAACAATCCAGATGCCTCCAGTAGATGAATGGAATAAATCTATTTAAATCAAACCATCTTACTTGAGTTCTTCTCTTTCCTTCTGACAATTTCCAAGGAAGTTCCCAAATTGACATGAATGAATATGTTCATGAATCTGAAGAAGAAATTCTTCATTGAATTCAAAAGCTTGTGGGAACTGTTCTGTCAAATGCCACACACATTCCAAGAACTGAGTAAACACTGGTGAGGCCTCCTTTGGGTCACCGTCCAAGTGGCCACACCTAAACCCCAGGAAAGCATAAGCATTTAGAAACGTCTTGGAAAGAAATCCTGTATTAAAGAATCATAAATGTACACACCAATATAACACATAGTTATGTACATAGCACATATATATAATACACACATAAAATAATCCTAAAACACTGTTACGTAAGCACAAAAATAGCATTTTATTGAAGTCACTCATATCTATGAATTTTGTAATCACAATTTTTTTTATTTTACCAATACTGAGTTGAACTCAGGCCCTTCCACTTGTTCAGCTTCCTTGCTCACCTAGCCCTCTATCAATTGCACCATACACCCAGTCCTATTTTTTTGCTGTTTAGAGATGGAGTAACTTTTCTGCCTGAGCTAGAATGGAACCAGTTAGGATTACAGGCAAGAGCCACCAGCATTCAGCTTTGTAATCACAATTTTAACAACGCTGTTACCTTCTAAATATTACAGAACAGGCCAAAACAATTATAGCCATTTTTGGTTAATAACTAACCCTAAAAATTAGCAAACATATTAGAATTGAAAAAAATGAAAAAATAAATCTGACTTCGTACAGCACTTTCATCTCCTGTTACACATGCAAATTCATAAAGGATAGAAACAGCGGGCGCTGGTGGCTCACGCCTGTAATCCTAGATACTCAGGAGGCTGAGATCTGAGGACTGGGCAGGAAAAGCTTAGACTTTTATCTCCAATAACCTACCAAAAAACCCAAAAAACAAAAAAAAAACAGAAGTATAGCTGTGGCTCAAGTGGTAAAGCACTAGCCTTGAGCAAAAACAAAGCTCAGGGACAGCACTTAGGCTCTTGAGTTCAAGCTCCAGGACACATGCACACACACCCCGACACAAATGCTACAGTTCTCTAATTTACATATAACCTAAGTGGTGCCAGGACTATCAACACACACTCGTAATCTCAGCCCTGGGGAAGCTGAAGTAGGATGACCATAAGCATGAGGTCAGTCTGGCCTACACAGTTCTGGGTCAGTGTGGGCTATGAAACCCTACCTCAAAACCCACAAGGGAAAAAATGATTCTAAGTATATTAATAGCCACTCACCTCTCTGAAAATTTATGTCCAAATGAGATCCAATCTTTTTCTATTAAAACCTTAACAGGAAAAAGTAAAAATTCACTTTATAACTATTTATAACAGAACAAAACAAAAACTACAAACAAAAAAACAGCCAGAACTCGAGTTAGAGAAAGGGCTAAAGAACAGTAGAAAAAGAAAAAAAACACACAAAAAGAGTAATTTCATGACTAATTCAGTTGTATTTATACATTCTTAACTGAAGAGTGTACACTATAAAGCAGTATTACACTAAAAATTTTGTACATTAAAGATGACACAAGAAACCTACTCTAAGAAATAGAAACTAAAATGTTAACAAGAGTTGACTCTGAGTAGAAGATGAAGGGAGAGTTTTAAACTTTTTGGCTCACTTGTACATTACTTGCATAAGCTTTTTTTTCTGGACTTATGTTTCTTGAAGTGATTAAAAAGAACAAACATTAGGTATGGTGATAATCCCTGCACTGAAGAGGCTGACACAGGAGGATTTTAAATTTGAGGCCAACCTGGGCTACATAGCAAAATCCAGTCTCATTCATAAATAAATAAGACCAATGAAAACAAATTCAAATCCAAATGTTATGTATCTACTCTCCTACATGAAATGTTTCCTCTGTCAAGGCTTCTCTACTTACCAAACTCACTGAAATATGTATTTTATATTTTCTTTCATTAGCTTCTATTAGTTTTACCAGGGAAGTTTCATTCTGACATATCCATATTTGTTTATAAGGCACCCTAATCATATTTATGCCCTCCATTGCTCTCCTTCCTTCTCTCCCTACTTGTTAAAACAATTTCAACAGGTTTCATTATTCTATTCTCCTACATGCATGAAGTACTTCAATCATATTTGCCATCCTTCACCTTCACATTTCTTTCTTTTCTATGTCCACAAGATCCAGAATAGTGTGTGGCACACAGTAGGTGCTCACTAAAGGTCTGATACATGATTAATTAATTTACCTGGAAATTCTGCGTTTCTATCACCTTCTTTTATGTCAGAGAGGCTTATAGGACTAACTTGCCATCTATGGCTCACACCTGTAATCCTAGCTACTCAGGAAGCTGAGATCTGAGGACTGGAGTCTGAAGCCAATCTGGGCAGAAAACTCCAGAGACTCTTAATATCAATTAATCAGCCAAAAAAGCCAGAAGTGAAGGCACAGCTCAAGTGGTAAAGGCCCTGAGTTCAAGCACCAGTACCAGCATAAACAAATACAAAGCAAAACTATTGAAGAAAAGTTCTGGCCCAAATCAGAGGCTAGAGCAGATTCTGGTGAAGGATTTCACCCCTGCAGCAGCCAGGGAAGATAGGGGGCACCAAGAGTTTTAGAAACTTGGAAATGACTGTGTGTGTGTCTGTGTGTGTGTGTGTGTCTCTGTGTGTGTGTGTGTCTGTGTGTGTCTGCGTGTGTCTGTGTGTGTCTATGTGTGTGTCTGTGTATATATATATGTATATAGTGTGTGTGTGTGTGCATGTGCGTGAGTGTGCGCGTGTGCCACAGCTCCACTTCCAGCTTTTTGGCAGTTGACTGGAGATACGAGTTTCATAAACTTTCCTGCCCAGGCTAGCTTATTAGCTTATGAACTACAATCTTCAGAGCTCAGCCTCCTGAGTAGCTAGGATTACAGATATGAGCCAATCAACACTCTGCTTTGTGATTTTATTCCAATGCCGGGCAAACAACTGGAACCATATATGTGAGAAGAACATAACTTATCTTATACTCCAAAAGTAAGTTGAACAATATTAGCTGTTTTCTTATTTGCATTTAGTCTGTCCCAAACTCAACATGATAACAGCACAAAATAATAATAGTGCTGAAAAAGGGCTGGGGATTTTAAATCTTCCCTAGCTTTAACATAACACTGTATTTAATTATTGTATACTTAGGAAAAGTGTCTAATATCTTTTATTCACCATATATTAACAAATAAAGTTTGAAAGTTAATCTGATCATAAGCTATACTCAAAAAGCCAAACATGTATGGTTGTACTCATATGCAGAACCTAGACCTAAAAGACATATATTTGTGGACATGTATATATAATATCTATAATGCTATTTCCACAAATATATGTATATATGAATATATATAAATAGATGTAAGTATACATATATGTACTTATAAACATATACACAGAGAATATGATTGTAACTATGGGATTATTTAGGAGGAAAGAAAAGGGAAAGGGAAAAAGAAGGATGGAAGGGAAGGAGTGACACTAATCAAGAAGCATTGTACTTATAACCTGAGTTGTGGAACTGTAACTTCTTTGAACAATTAATAATAATTCAAAAAAGAAAGCTAAATAATTTCTAAATACACTGCAACTATATGTGAAAGATGGCAAAAGGAATCTTGACCAATAGGAGGTTGGGGCAGGAAAAAAGAAAGCAACAAATGACAAGGAAGTAAAGTAGGCTGATAGGGGCATCCTAGGAGTGGGGAGGGCAAACAGAAAGGCTGAACTAGGATGAATATGGTAAAAGTAGTTTGTATGCATGTATGAAAACAGAACAATGAGGGGCTGGGAAGGTGGCTCAGTGGTAGAGCGCTTGCCTTGCATGCATGAGGCCCTGGGTTCGATTCCTCAGCACCACATAAGCAAAAAGAAAAAAGCCGGAAGTGGTGCTGTGGCTCAAGTGGTAGAGTGCTCGCCTTGAGCTGAAGAGCTGAGGGACAGCGCCCAGGCCCAGAGTTCAAGCCCCATGACCGACAAAAAAAAAAAAATTTAAGGGAAAAAAACGTCCCATTTATGTCCTGAAAAAAAGTTGAACTTGGGTTGGGAAGTTGGCTCAGTGGTAGAGTGCTTGTCTTGCGTGCATTAGGCCATAGGTTCAATTCCTCAGCACCACATAAGCAGAAAAAGCTGGAAGTGGTGCTAGTGGTAGAGTGCTAGTCTTGAGCTGAAGAGCTGAGGGTCAGTGCCCAGGCCCGGAGTTCAGGCCCCACAATCAACAAAAAAAAACAACAAAAAAAAAAGTTAACCTTATCAGACATTAAAAATCAAACAAACAGGGCTGGGAAGGTGGCTCAGTGGTAGAGTGCTTGCCTTGCATGCTCGAGGCCCTGGGTTCGATTCCTCAGCACCACATAAGCAAAAAGAAAAAAGCCGGAAGTGGCGCTGTGGCTCAAGTGGTAGAGCACTAGCCTTGAGCTGAAGAGCTGAGGGACAGTGCCCAGGCCCAGAGTTCAGCCCCAACACCGGACCCAAAAAAAAAAGAAAAAAAAAATCAAACAAACAACATTAGCTGGAGATTTATCTTCACAAGGAAAAAAATCTGTTCAAAAAGAATTTTAAGCTTCATAAATAAAATATGTCTACCATGTTATTATACTTAATGAATAGAAGTATTTTGGGTTTTTAGGGGGGGGGGTTGGTTTTTTTTGGTCCAGTTGTGGGGCCTGAACTCTGGGCCTGGCCGCTGTCCCTCAGCTCTTCAGCTCAAGGCTAGCACTCTACCACTTGAGCCACAGCGCCACTTCCGGCTTTTTTCTTTTTGCTTATGTGGTGCTGAAGAATCCAACCCAGGGCCTCATGCATGCAAGGCAAGCGCTCTACCACTGAGCCACCTTCCCAGCCCTGAATGGAAGTATTTTAAGTAGAAAGTTCCGTCTAGAATATAGCTTTCAAGTATTCTTATTTATGCCTTTTTGTTAGTATGTTATTTTTATAGATAAAAATGAGAAAATCTGAGTATTTCTATAGATACATTTTAGAGGTGGGAAAAAGGAAAGGCTTTTAAATCTTTATTTTTGCCACAGATACAGAAACCAGTGTGACTCAAGGTATCTCAGCCTCAGCAGTACTGACGTTTTAGGCCAGATAATTCTTTGTTATAGGGCCATCCTGTGCATGACATGATGCTTATTACCACTGTCTGCCAGCTGTACCACTGCTTTTAGTGTCTCCAAACATTGCCAAATGTCCCCTGGGGGAACAGAATCACTCCTGTCCAAGAACTACTGGCCTAAAACAATACATCCTTACCATGAATCCTTTAATTGTCCTGTAGTAGGAGTCCAATAAAAGTGAACCAAGGGAACAGACTTGGGAGGTCCTATCCCAACCGTCTGAGCAATGTACCAACACACTTGCATTTTCAAGCACTATTGCCTGAAAAGAAAGATAACATGCTTAGATTCAAACAGAATGCCTTTTACACATACCAGTAAATCTATTTACTTGAAAATCTATCAGGCATTGTATTTTTTTTAAAGTACTCTACCTGCAATAATAATGTTACTATAGCATAATTCAAAAGAAAAAGAAAAAAACAGATAGAGACAAGAATGTTTCAAAGAATTTGAGGATTTTAAGCATTTAGGGTAAGTGCCCCATGTTTTTAAAGCTCAAATTAAAGTGACCCAGAGTCAAAAACCAATGCCCAACAGGATAAATCCACCCCTTCATAACCAATTTAAGCCTCCAAATCAAGTATGAGAGATAAAGTTACTTTGGCTAAGAAGATTGCAGCATCCATAACAGCCTTGATATGGCGAAGCCATCCCGAGCTCTCCAAACCAGAATAGAAATCATTGACAGAGAGCCCTTTGGTACCATTCACTAAAAAAAAATAGAGGTAAAAAAAATTCAGTAAGAATGAGACAAGAGGATAATACGGTCCAAAAAGAAATACACTCTCTACCTCACTTATGTAATTATAAACCCTTTATGCATCACCTTTATAATAATAAAAAAATAAATTAAAAATAAAGAATGAGGCTAGGAAGTTTCTACTTGTCTTATAGATCTTTCAAGGTGAGAAAATTGAGAAAGGAAAGGATAAAATAAATATGCAAGACTTTTTACAAAAGAAATATGTTATTATCCCCTCTGTACAGTATTTTCACAATAAAAAAAGAAATATGTTATTATTAGAATCTTAACAATTTGTTGGGTACACTTTTCTGTCCTTCCTTAAGTTTTAAAAAAGTTCTAATACTATTTAAAGCAATGTAAGAAATGTTTAATTAACATTTCATATTTTTAATTTTTAATTCTAAGTCATAATTGGAAAGATACCTTCATATTTAAATGAAACAGTAGCATAAATATCCATTGTAATGATTACTCAAGAATCTCTTAATAACAAGTTTTTTAATAAAGCCATTAGAATTGTATTAATTAATAGATACTACCCAAATGTAGCTGCTGCAATGTGACCAGGTCAAAATGAGATGCATTACAAATGTAAAATACACAACTGAGTTCTAAGACAATGAAAAGTACAATATCAATATTTTATACTGAATACATGTTAAAATTTTAATATAGTAAGAGACTATATAAACAATTTGACATGCTTATTTTTTAATGCAGCTTCTGGAAGTTTTAAAATTATATGATAGGGCTGGGAAGGCGGCTCGGTGGTAAAGTGCTTGCCTTGCATGCCAGAGGCCCTGGGTTCGATTCCTCAGCACCACATAAGCAAAAAGAAAAAAAAGCTGGAGGTGGCGCTGTGGCTCAAGTGGTAGAGCGCTAGCCTTGAGCTGAAGAGCTGAGGGACAGTGCCCATGCCCCAGAGTTCAGGCCCACGACCGGACCCAAAAAAAATAAAAAAATAAAATTATATGAGATAAACATTGTATTTCCATTGGACAGAGATATCTAAAAAGTAAAGCAATAATCATACCTTCCAACAATTTCTGAAGGCTGGATCTCATTACATGAATATTTTCTATTCCAACAAACTGAAATCTAATATTAGAATAGTTGTCTTCATTTTCATAACCTTTTCCAGCTGCTCTGTTGGCTATTGCATTCAGCTAAAATTTAAAATGTTAGACATTGAGAATCAAATTACTTTTATCTTTAAAATTAACTTACCAAAATGTCATAAAATCACTACATAAGCCACATTTTAGCAAGAAGAGAACTTAAAGGTACTCATCAAAACTGAACATATTATCTGTTTTTTTTTAAATAGGCAAGAATGTCACCTTATCAAAATACAAATAAAGTAATGATATGGCTGTTATGTAAAGGAAAATCTAGACCGGAAGTATCCACAAGTTCAAGAAACTATGTTTTTCGTCAGTTTCCCATATGTTTATCTCAATCTTAAATGACTTAAGAGTTAAGTAGAGTTGGAAAGCTTTTCATTTATAGAGTCAAACTGAGATTCACTTCTGAACTAGACTTGAAATCCCAAGTTTGCAAATCCCATCTGAGATATGTCTATAGATTGGGGTCCACATGTCAGACATTACTGAAGGCGATGCAACTGTTTACAAAAGCACATACTTCACTAGCCTGATATACCTTTAAGAAATGGATAAAAAATGAACTTGTCTCTAGAGAAAAGAGATTGCCATGGGCATTCATTATTAGACCATATTATGAGAGGTTCTGTGAGCATCTGGTATGCTTACTTTTTTCAGAATATGGTTTCCGATTTCATATAGTATGTTATTACAATTTATGAGGGTTATCTCATGAACATGGATAAAAATAAAATCTAAAACTAGAAGAGAAAACCCTTTCATTCTCTAGATGGGGGCTCTAAGTTTGTAACAAGTATAGTTAAGTTATATCTACTGACTTACTAGTTCACTGAGCACCTTTAAAGATACTAACGCAAATTAAGAGTGCTTAATTATTACTACTCAATAGCTTAGAAAAGCAAAGAAAGATATATTTTCTATGTAGAAGACAATTATTCATACAAATCACAATCAGACTTCATCTTCCAAAAGTTTGAGATTGCTGAGTGTGGCAGCTCAAGCCTGTAACCCTAGCTACTTGGAAGGCAGTTATTGGGGGATTGTGGTTCAAAAGCCAGCCTGGACAAGAAAAAAAGTTCACAAGACTCCATCTAAACCAATAGCTAGGTGCAGTGTTGCATGCCTGTTGTCCCTAGCCATGTGGGGAATAAGTAGGAAGATCACAGTCCGCCAGCCTTGATAATAAAGCAACATCCTTAAGAGTTATCAATGCAAAAAGGGCATGTGGAATGGCCTAAGTAGTAAAACACCTGCCTAGCAAGCACTAGGCTCTAAGTTCAATACTCAGTACCACCTTTCAAAAAGTTTTGTATTACAATCACATCTTATATCTAACATTAACTATTAATTAATCAATCCAGGTTATACAGAGTAGAATGACATTTTTCTTTTTTTCTTTTCTTTTTTTTTTTTGTTGGTTATGGGGCTTGAATCTGGGCTTAGGCGCTGTCCCAGTGCTCTTTAGTTCAAGGTAAGCGCTCTACCAATTGAGCCACAATACCACTTCTGGTTTTCTGGTGGTTAGTTGGAGTTAGTCTCACAGACTTTCCTGCCTGGGCTGGCTATGAACCTCGATCCTCAGATCTCAGCCTCCTGAATAGCTAAGATTACAGGCGTGAGCCACCGGCACTCAGCAAAATTTTTCTTATAGAAGACATTACCAACACTTAACTCGTAGGAAAAGTCTTTTTTAAACAAGAGATGATAAATCACCAATTTCTAATTGTTACTATTTCCTACATACTGTTTCAAATGACTCTCATCTTCTGTTTCTCTGTCATCTCATCTAATGATGAAAATGACTCTAAAGCAACAATAATTCCCTCTGCAAACTGCCTAAAATTGATTGTGTTCTATTTTGCTCACTCGCTTTTTCTCATCGCTTTCTCTTATTTTCTCATCATTCCAGATTTTTGAAGAAATCCTCACTATAATTCTGCCAATGTCCTTTTGTGTATCCCACCAGCTCTGCATGCGATGCTATAATAAAAATTAAAAGCAAAGTTAGCTATTACCATTTTAGATTTTAATGACTTTAACTGCAGGTCCTACATGTATTGGCTGCTTAACTGTGCTCATAAAAATTAAAGAGGATTCTGACTTGGTCCCAGTGGTAAAAATTTATAGCCTTATACCATAGGTGTTTTATAGAATAACAATTTCCTGTCATTATTTTTAATGCTCTTGTTCAACGTTTCCTAGGTTAATTCACTGTTGTTACTTATTAAGATCTTATTTTAAAGCAAAGTATTTCACATTAAGAATGACATTAAAATTATAATTTAAAATTTTTCACAATACACAGTATTTCTTCACAATAACATAAGGTTTATACACTACCAAGAGTTCCCAGGGCTGGGTAGGTGGCTCAGTAGTAGAGTGCTTGCCTTGCATGCACGAGGTCCTGGGTTCGATTCCTTAGCACCACATAAGCAGAAAAATCTGGAAGTGGCGCTGTGGCTCAAGTGGTAGAGTGCTAGCCTTGAGCTGAAGAGCTGAGGGACAGTGCCCAGAGTTTGGGCTCCACGACGGGGTAAGGGTGGGGGGAGTTCCAATATGTCTTGGCACTGGTGAGGACTGCAGTTCGAAGCCAAGCCAGGAAGGCAAGTCTGTGAGACTATTAATCACCAAAAGGCTGGAAATGGAGATATGGCTCAAGTGGTAAAGTGAAAAAGCTAAAGGACAGCACTCTGGCCCTCAGTACCAGTGCATGTACATGCACATGCACACATACACATACATATAATTATATATGTAGTACATGAATATATATATACATATATACACACATATATAATACATATATCAAATTCAGTTTTCTTAAAGTTATATAAATATATGCCAAAAAAACATAATTTGTCACTGAAATTATTGAGAACTGGTCTTCTAAGTTGGTATTCCTTAAAGGACTAATTTCTTTTGTATTATTAGCTTCCATTTATTTCAAACCAGGATTAAAGCACTTAAAGATAATGACATGAGCAGACTGCATGTATTTAAGATACATACTTTGGGCCTGGTATCCACAACGTACATGTAACGATTGACTGGGTTGGCTTTACTAATGGCTTGAAGCAAATGTTCATCTTCCAGACACCGGGCACTGAATCCTGACAGTGGCTGACTGCATCGACATATGGCAGCCTAATTTTAAAAAGACAGAAAACATATTATATAAAGATCTCTAAAATATGACTCAAAAATGCTTGAAATAAATGTCATCTATTTAAAAGTAAGATCACTAGAAGGTATTAAGTGTAAAATCTGATTTCATTAAATTCTATTTCAATACCTTGAGGTTCCCTAAGTTTTCCCAATATCTTCTAAGAAAAGATATGACTCAAACAGTACAGTGTCTGCTTAACAACACAAGCCTCTGAACTCAAGCCACAGTACTCCCTAAAACATAAGTGAAAGTCTCTATGTCGGTAGCTCACACCTGTAATCCTAGCTACTGAGATTGAGGGTCATGGTTTGAAGCCAGCCTACCCAGTAATTCCAAGGGACTATTTCCAATATTGAAAACTACTCAGAGTATTACAAGTCAGGATACCATAAGGACATTTTCACATCCATATTCACTGCTGCACTATTAACAACAGCCAAGTTATGGAAACAACCCAGATGCCCTACAAGAGATGAGTGAATCAAAAAAAAATGGGGTACATATACACAATGGGATTTTACTTATCCATTAGAATGAACATTATGCCATTTGGAAGGAAATGGACGAACCTAGAACAAATCATGTTAAGTGAGGTAAGCCAAGCTCAAAGAGATAAATGGTTTATGTTTTCTCTCATATGAGGAAGCTAGATATAAAATACAACTGGACATGATAATTCACAAAGAGCTTTAAGCATTTACAAACAAATAAATTGACTAAAGGAAGGAGAAGGCACCCAAAGGTGTAACTTCTCTGAACATCTAAAGTACTATGTATCAAAATGAATTTCATGCTTTTTTTTATTATTTTCCATAGTTGTTGTTGGAGGTGGGGGGGGCAAAAGGAGGACATGAGAATGGAGGGAGGAAGGAGGAACAAATGCAGCCATTGTATTCAATATACACTATTGAAAAAAAAATGCACTACTCAACCTGTGGCAGGGACTGCAGGGGAAAATGGAAGAAACCAAAGGAAGCTATGGCATTGTCCAAGAAGCACCATACTCATGCTTAGACATATGAAACTGTAACCCCTTTGTACAACTCCTTGATAATAACAACTTTTTAAAAGGCCCGGTGCCAGCAGCTCTTGCCAGTAATCCTACTCAGGCATGAGATCGGAGGACTGAGGTTCAAAACGAGAGGTGGGGGGGAGGGGGGAGAGAAGAGGAGAGGACAGGACAGGGGAAAGGGAAAGGGAAAGGGAAGGGAAGGGAAGGAGAGGGGAGGGGAGGG